ATCAATACATTGAATAAGACTAAACTTTAATTTGGATGCCGATTATGTTTTTTCAAGTTTATATAAAGTAAAAGAATTGAATTTTGGAAGCCAGGAGTGTGTCAATTGAATTTTGGCCAGTGTGCAAGGTATCAATCTCTTCGTCTCGTCGATTAGTACAACTTTCCTTTTTGTTTCACTCAATTTCGTTGAGTATTGAAAAAGTTATACTCATTTGAATCTTACCCAGTTTTCGGCGACCTCAGTGGCTTTCGAGGCAATTTCCGGCCAAACCACAATAAGTCAGATGTCGTGTGGGGTACCATTCTCTTCGTCTCTTCGAGGGCTACAACTTTCCTTTTTGTTTCACTCAATTTAGTTGCGTATTGAAAAAGTTATACTCATTTGAATCTTACCCAGTTTCTGGCGACCTCAGTGGCTTTCGAGGAATTTTACGGCCAAACCACGGCGAGTTGGCCGGCGTGCAAGGTATCAATCTCTTCTTCTCGTCGAGTAGTACAACTTTCCTTTTTGTTTCACTTAATTTTGTTGAGTATTGAAAACGTTATACTCATTTGAAACTTACCCAGTTTCCGGCGACCTCAGTGACTTTCGAGGCATTTTCCAGCCAAACCAGGACGATTAAGACGTCGTGTGAGGTACCATTCTCTTCGTCTCTTCGAGGGCTACAACTTTCGTTTTTTTCTTGCTTGATTTCGTTGCGTTTGGACAAAGTTATGGCCGTTTAAAGTGGGTGTAAATTTTCGGCCGAAATTCTGATTTTCTCTCCCATTGGGCGAGTCCCACATCTCCCATGCGAGGGCAGTGAGCAAGCAATTTGTCCTATAAAACCCACATTCTCCTACTGAAAAAAGCATAGCTTGTTCGGTTTTCGAGTTATGATCAAGTGAAGTATGTGTTGAGGTTTTTTAACATATTTAAGTATTTTTTTAGTATTATGTCGTGATACTATCGATAATGTTGAAAATATTGCGATATTATCGATAATATCGTGATATTTTGACGAAAATCATTTGAATAGTTAAAAAAATATCGGATCTCTAAAAAAACGATAATATCGGCGATATTTCGCTGATATTATCGATTTTTTATTCTTTGGTCATGACACCCATTCATATCAATTTGAAGTGTCCAAATGGTCACATCTGTTTACAAAACTACCGGTGCCTTCAATTTGGCACTGTTTGGATTTGACTGAATCGTTGCCAGTACAAGAAAAACCTAATATTTAAAGGGACAAGGATTGTCTGCCCTCCTGTTTGTGTGGTCACGGTTAAACCACGTCAATATTTTATATTACTATTCATTTTTATATTATTATCTCTATAAAAAAAACAATATAAAATATTGATGTGACTTAACTGTGACCACGTAAAACAGGAAGACATGGGAGGGCACAGGAACATGGAAGGCAGACAATCCTTGTCCTATTTAAAGGTGCATGGCTCTTGGACAAAGTTATGTCTGCGCCATTTCAACTAAAAGACGTGTACTTTGGGACAAGGTTTGTATGCCCTCTCACTTTCGATGTCCTCTCATGCTCTCCTGCTTTGTGTGGTCACGGTTAACCCACATTAACATTTTATATTGTTTTTTTATAGAGATAATAAGACAAAATTGAATGGTAATATAAAATGTTAACGTTACTTAACCGTGATCACATAAATAGAAGGGCACGGGAGGACACCGAAAGTGGGATGGCATACAATCCTTGCCCTGTACTTTGAGTATTATACTATTCCCAACTAAGAACCAATCTTACACACCAGTATTCCACTTTATAATTATACATTGTATATATTTTTATGAAATCTCCAACACAACTGTGTAATTAGAAACCACCTTTCAAATTTTGGTACCAACCACACTTTTTCAGAAGTTTTCCTTTTACGTTTTTACACATGATAATTTTTTTCAGGTGTCAATAATAATTTGTCAAATTTGCTTCTTTTCTTTATATATTTTGATATAAATTGATTATTATTATTATTTTTTTTTTTTTTTGTCATTTATTTGGTGGGAATGGAATAAATGTCCAAGTCATGTAGATAAAATGCATCCTCACTACAAACCGCTTTGACATTTTCTTCTCTTCATGATCTTTTCTAGTATTTTTTTTTACTGAAAACATATAAATAATCGGCATAGTACAACTGATAATTGAAAGAAGGGACTCGGAAGTTCGAGACTTCTTGTGTAAGAGAATATATGCTCGTAACTGTTAACCAACTAAATTACAATCTTCTTACAAGACTATTCTATGGGCAGAGGAAAAAAAGAACTCATAATTAGAAGGGTTAAAGCCTCAAATTAAGGTGCATGGTTGCATTTGCATATACATTACATAGTTGCACGTCGGCCCAAAAATTAAAATAAATAAATGAAAACTAAAAATAGGAAACGCTCATGCAACTCATGATCCTTGTGTCTAGTCAAAACCCCAAAGGCCGCAGTCAGGGACGAAGCCAAAAATCTGTATAGATGGAGGCATTGTTAAACAACAAAGTCACAAAATAAAAAGGTAGAGAATTTACTGAACAAATACTTATTTATTAATCCTTAACATTTTTCATACAAAATATTACAATATCCCTCAACGTGTGTTCATGATTTGAAAGCGTTGCATGACAACTTCATTACTAATACCATCAAATATCTCTTTATATAAAAATAACCATGTTATCATTTATCTATTTATCTCCCATCCGATTTCTCAATCGATTATTTGGAAATTTCATGGCCAAAAATGCTCTTTCAACGTTGGCAATTGCAATTAAAAGAGTTAATACTAATGTCACAAGCAAGTAAACAAGTTATACACCTTACTAATGTTTCAAGCATGTACATTTTTTTGTTTACCAATAAACTGAGTGGGGGCATCCGCCCCCTCTGAGCCCAAGGTGGCTCCATCCCTGGCCGCAGTCCATTATATGAATCATACCCCCAAATAATTTTTTTTTTCTTTTTTCCCAAATATTTTGGAAATTAGTTATCGATCTCCACATGTTGTCCAATATTCTAGTGGACATAGTGTTAGATTTACATCCATACGTCTTAGGTTTGAAACTCTCTCCAACCCCAAATTATTATAACAGTTTCGAACCCTAACACTCTCCTTAATAATAATAAATTTAAAAAAAAAAAAAAACTTCTCCATTTCCATGCCAACATTTGTAATAAAAAAATAGAGTAGAATTATATCCACTTGGCCAATGGATTGGAGTTTGGAGACTTATCTGCCCACTCACCTTTCCTTCTTCTTATCCGGTGTTCCTTAATACAGAAGCCCTACGTTTCCAATACGCACTTTATTGACTTCCATTCCCCTTGACCAAGGAAATCAAATAAATCTAGAAGACGCGATCAAGATCGAATATATATATGTGTGTGTGTGTGTAAGAAAGAAAAAGTGTTCAAGACATTGCAATGAACAAAACTGATCTCCCCATGTGATCAATTTTGGTTCAAATCAATAGTTGCGTATACAAACACATTAGTGTACCTTTTGGTTAGTTATTTTTTGGCCAAGCACAATTTAATGTCTTTCGTTGACACAATCGATGACAGCATATAAATTATATACTATTTGAAAAATTATCGTTTAAGAGTGCATTGCCCCTTCAGTGAAAAAAAGGGCTTTGCATATAAATTATCTACTGTTTGACAAAATATAATTTTCTTGTAATAATAATATGTATATATCATATGAAAGACTAACAACCCTAAATAAACTACTTCTCACGTTGTTGGTATGAACTAATAGTTTATTAGATGCCTTTAATATTATATTACCAATTGGCCTAAGTTTCAAATTAAGGATGCAGATCCTTGGTTTAAGCAAAGCAGTTAAAAGTCTTCTTCCAATTGGGTTGGATCTATATGCTATATTAAAATAACAGCTTTACAGTTGTAGCGTGTCTATTAAGTTGAAACAGTTAATTGAAAATTAAAAAAATAATATATATATATATATATATATATATATTTGAACACATAAACTTGCCATACTTATTGAAGGGATCCCCATTTGTAAAAAAAAATGAGGATACCCTCTTGATCATTAGATTAGATTTTAATGAAATTTTGTGGTTGAGATTAAATCACAGATCACAAAATCTCAATCATAGAATTTCATTAAAGTCAAATATAACGGTCAATAGGAATGAGGATCCCTCCCCTTAAAGGCTTCCCTTATTGACATACTATTGTATGCGAGTTTCAACTGTATTAGTGGCTAATTTTATGCGTCTAAATAGCAACAAATATTTGTACTTATGTTAGTAGTCAATTTTGTGTCTCTAGATAGCAACAAGCATTTGTACCTGTATTAGTAGCCAATTTTGTGTGTATAACTAGCAACATGCATTCATTAGTTTGCTAATGTTATTTCGGTTATTTATTTATGAATAATGCTTGTGTCTCCTCACGGGGTACTTACTTGTCTCCCCATTTAAACTAATGAAATTTTACCTTTCGAACATCATAATCGGACCATTCATTCTTTTTATCATTATATGAGATCATATCTGCAAAAAAAAAAAAAAAAAAAAAAAAATCATTCAATTTGGAGATCGTTTAATCATCCATACGTGTGAAATCAATCAATAGTCTTGGAAACAAGTAACATCCGCATGGTGAACCATCTATTTGTTTTATACATATGAATGGTGAAAAAAACTCCAAATTGAATAATTTTTGCATATATAATCTTTAAATGATGATAAAGAAAATGAACAGTTCTGATTATGATGTTCAGACTGTAAATGTTCGTCAATCATAAGTAAAGAGATAAGTAAGTTTCCATAAAAAAAACACAAGTATTATCTTTTATTTATTTGTTTGTTTGAGCTATATCAGTCACGACTAACGTCCATTCTTCTTCTTCTATTTTCCACTTCATAATTTTTATCTCAACCTTATACAAAGTCCAAACATATGTAGGATCCAAGTTGACCGCATGTATCACTCCAAGGCAGGCCTATTTATACACATGTATACATTGGTTTCTACTTTTATACAACCTCAACTCCCTTATACTGTCCACTCTAACTTCTAATTTGTTAAATTCCATCTGATTTTTGCGTATTTTTCTCTCACTGATCATACTATTATCAGTCTTCCAGAAAATCCTCAGATTCTTCCAATATTTGAAGCACTCTACACATCATGGTTCGTTTCTCTCTCTCTCCCCCTCCCCCTCTCCCTCTCCCTCTCTCTCATCGTTCATCTTCTTTGTGTATTGGTTTTCTTATAATTGTTGGATTTCTACAGGCATCTGACATGGATGGTGTCAAATATGAAGAGGTCAGACCTAGTTCTATATTGGGTTTTGATCTAATTTTAGAAAATACTTTTCTGTGTGTTTAGTTCTAATTAATTTTTATATATTTGCAGGAGTACATCTTAAATTCTAGAGGCATGAAGCTTTTCACATGCAGATGGCTCCCGAATAACACCAAACCCAAAGCATTAATCTTTATCTGCCATGGATACGGCATGGAATGCAGCATCACCATGAACAGTTAGTGTCAAAGTTTTTTCCCCATCAATTCATAACTCTAAAATTACCCAAAAGAAAACATATTTATATTATATATGTACTCCTGAAAATTAACAGGTTTTCAAAATTGTCCACTTTGATCAGGCACCGCAATCAGGCTAGCCAAAGCACGCTTTGCCATATATGGAATAGACTATGAAGGTCATGGAAAATCAGCAGGCCTACAAGGTTACGTGAAGAGTTTTGATGATGTGGTGGATGACTGTACCAACCACTTCACAAACATATGTGGTTAGATTTTTCGCACTCTGTCTCTCCAATTCACAATTCTTCGACATTTTTTTTCAATTAAAGCATAGACTGATGCCAATAAAATTAGTAGATAACATGTTGAATGACATCCTGTACAAAGAATTTCGACTCCTTCTCGTGCCCTTTTTTAGTCTTTGGTTTTAATTTGTGGTGACAATTCAGAGAGCAAAGACAACAAGGGAAGGATGAGGTATCTAATGGGGGAGTCAATGGGAGGAGCTGTGGCTCTGCTGGTGCACAGGAAAAAGCCAGACTTTTGGGATGGTGCGGTTTTGGTTGCGCCCATGTGTAAGGTATTTGCTTCTAATTTGTTTCCACGTTCTTTTTGGACTTCTCTCATTGGAGTTTTTTCAGCCCTGGTTTCTGGTGGGTTTTTCTTTTTATAATCTTTATTTTATTTCTATGCAAAAATTGAATTTGGACACCAACAAAAAGATTGCACCTTTTCTTAAATTTTTTATTATTTTAAAATTAATTTGTTGACCGAATCTCTGTTGTTTGAAGGCCTTTGAATCAGTCGAGAAAAATAATGTTTAACCTTGATTGTCTGCCCTCCACTTCCAGTGCCCCTTCATGTCCTCTTGTTTTGTGTAGTCACCATTAAATCACGTCAATATTTTATATTAATTTTTAATAGATATAATAAGACAAAAATAAATAGTAATATAAAATGTTGACGTTGCTTAATCGTGATCACACAAACAGAATGGGACGAAGAGGGCACCGGAAGTGGAGGGCAGACAATCCTTGTCCGTTTAACCTTATCAATCTAGATTAGCCTTCTTCTTTATCGGGTGCCATTTAGTATATGACATTTCTGTTCAACAATTTTTTTTTAATTACAAAACACAATTTTAACTGAGCTTACATCCAACTAGTGTTTGATATGTATGGTTTTTTAATCCTCGACGGATTTTCTCATTGTAATGTATTCTCTTATTAAAGTAAAATATTTTAGATGAAAACTATTTTGTTTTTTGTTGCAAGAAAGGCAAAGCGAAAAATTAGTATGAGCCTTTCCGACCTTATTATCCTAAATAATTAAAAACATTAGTAGTGTTGTAAAAGTTGTGAGAATGAATACTCACATATTTTAGTCAAAGATAAAAAGTGAGGAAAACTTAAGAATAGTAGCATTGTTGTTGTTGTATGATGTTTTTCAAAATGCACTCATTTCATTTTTATGATTCTTCACGGATATGGCTCTATATAAGGAGCATTCACAACACACACAAAAGAAATGAGTGAAAACAATAATATCAATATCCATTTCTTCCTGTCTTTACCCGCAATTCTTTTGTGTGATAGTTACAAAAATAAACATTGTGATACATTACACCTGTTTTGCGCATGTCTCTAGCAAATGTATCTCTCACCTTTGCCTATTTATAACATCTAGGAGCAGCTCCACCTCATCCCAAATTTCGAATCCACAAACCTTTCCAAACTACTTTTGTTTTTTTTTTTCCTTTGAAATCATTTAGAAATTAAACCCTTTCCTTGAAATGGAGAAATATGTGTTATTCAATTTTATCTCCATCCATACAGAAAAAGTGTGGTGCTCTTTCACTTTCGAAATTTCATTATTTTAAAACTAAAAATTAATACAATTTAGTTAATGGACTTTACATTCAACTCCAAATCATGAAAGTTAAACCGACACGTTTTCTGGTTTTTTTTTATAACCATTTTACTTACAGATTGCAGATGAGCTGAGGCCATCCCCATTAGTGATCAGTGCTTTGACAAAGCTCTGCAAGTTCATTCCGACCTGGAAAATAATCCCCACAAATGATATTATTGATGTTGCTTTCAAAATGCCTGAAATAAGAAAACAGGTAGTTATATATAATTTTGTATATAATATATTTTCTAAATATATATCAACCAAATTAAAAATGCAGGCCATTGCTGATAATGCTAACCTAATCACAGGTTAGAGAAAACCCCTACTGCTACAAAGGCCGGCCTCGTCTCCAAACCGGCTACGAACTTTTGAGGGTCAGTTCGGACCTTGAACAGAGGCTCGACGAGGTACTGTACCAAAATGTAATCTCTTTGGCGTTACTGATACATGACCTTACGTCACGTATAATAATTTGTTTTTTTGTTCTTGTCTACTTTGATTAGGTCACGTTGCCGTTCATAGTTCTCCATGGTGAAGACGATAAGGTTACCGACAACTCCGTCAGCAAACAACTCCATGAGGTAGCCGCCTCCCATGACAAGACGTTGAAGATGTACCCGGATATGTGGCATGGACTGCTATATGGAGAAACACCTGAAAACATTGAGGTTGTTTTTTCTGATATAATTAGTTGGTTGGATGAGAGAAGTTGCTTTGGAAATGCAAGGCTGGAGGGAGAATTAAAACGTGAAAACGACGATTTACCCAAGTAAAAAGTAAATCAAGAAGGCAGATGCAAGGCAGGAGATGGGTGGATATTATTAGTTAATTGTCTGTTTCAGTTGTAAAAATTCTTTATACAGAAGAACAAACGTTTATACAATAAAAGTAGCTTCAAGCCTTCAACTCCGTACGCATAGAAGTTTAACTTCAGATAACATAAAGGGTGACCGTTGGGTCTTGAGTTCAAAGCGTTTACTAAATGGGTGGTGGCATTTTAACATTTCACACATCTCTATTAATTTTCCGTCTTCAAACTAAATGAATTAAAATAGATCAATTGACAATAATTAACTGAGTGTGTAGAATGTAAAAATGACTGGAAAATATAGGTATGAGAATCATTTCACTTTTTTTTTCTTGTGTTTACTAACACATCATGTAGAATTTAAAGGAGAAAATTAGAATTAGATGCCTCATTTTAGACTTTTGTAGACTAAACATTTATGCTTTTTGAGTTTTTTATTAAGCTTTTGAAACATTTGATTAAGATACTCAGACTTGAACTACTTCAGATTAATTGAAATTATTTAATTATGTACTATATATTTTAAATAATTTCAACTATATTTAAGTCTAAAAATTTAAACTTTTCAAATCTAAATGTACATCCACGCCAAATAGAAACATACCAACATTAAATGAAAACGTACCAACGTCAAACGAAAACATACCAATCCCTAATTAAAACGTACCCAATTATAAACTATATTAAAATGAATATTCATCTTTTTGGAATGTTTAAAAATATGTTTGATTCATACACAATGCTCTAGATAGTCTTGTTTTTTGGTAGATAAATCGAACAACTTTAGTTGATCAGATATAAATCCTTATTATTGTAGATAATGCAAAATAATAACGATAAATCATATAGTTTTGAATTAACAAAAAGGCTATTGTCCGTTAATTAATGACTCTTTCTATAAAAAATAAAAAAAATAAAAATTAATTAAAGTAATTTAAACTTTTACATTGTTAACGACTCTTTATATAAAAATAATAATAATTAATTAAAGTAATTCCTCATTATTAGGACAAAAAGTAATAAAACTTATGTTTTGAAAACAAACGTACCAAAAATTCAAATGTACCAAGAAGCCAAATGGACCAAAAATTCAAATGTACCAGGTAACTAATGTACCATTATAATCAAACGTACCAATATAACCAAACGTACCTAACAACAAGTTTTGTTACATTCTATTTAATTTACTAAAAGAAATATTTTAATAAAAAATAAAAAAATCTTAAATCATCATAATAAGAGATGCATAAAAATAGGAGGAAAAAAGGGAATGCTAACGTGAATTGACTTCTAAGGAAATAAAATTAAAGTACCAAAATTGTAGGGAAAATGTTTAATCAAATTTGCAAAAGGAGTAGATATTTAGTCCATGACATTTAAAAACCAGGCGTCTATATCAAAACGTCCAATTAAAAAAGTGTAAGTTTTATCTTAAAATTCGTAATTAAATACCTAAACATAAACAATCAGATCAAATATTCAAGACAGTTGACCTGATTCCCCTTGTTCCTTGCCCTTATTTCTAAGTTCTTTGATTCTTTCCTTAAGTATCACTTTCTATTTCTACATATTTTTTTAAGAGTAAATTGTAGCTATGGTTCTTGAACTTTAATCAAATTGGAGCAATGGTCCCTCAACTAAAAATCCATTACCATTGGTCCTTCAACTTATCAAAACGTGCAGCTATGGTCCCTCAACTAAAAATCCATTACATTTGGTCCCTCAACTTTAATTCAACTGGAGAAGTGGTCCCTTAATTTTAACCCAATTGTAGCAATGGTCCTTCCAATATAACTCGTTTTGACAAAATTTTTTACGTAGTTGATGAAAAGGACCATAATTACACACTTTGATGAGTTGAGGGATCCTAATTATATAAATGGTTATTCCAACATAACATATTTTGACAAAATTTTGAAGAAATTGATGAAAAGGACTATAGCTACACATTTTGATAAGTTGAGGGACCAATGGTAATGGATTTTTAGTTGAGAGACCATTGCTCCAATTTGATTAAAGTTCAAGGACCATTGCTACAATTTACTCTTTTTTTAAACCTCAGTACCATAAAATTTTATTGATACGAAATACGAAATTGAAATAGTTACTGAAATTATCTCAACACTAATGACTCTTGAATTCTGATTGCATTTAGGTAAACATGTCGTAAAATTCGTAGATAATAAATTAACTCATTGAGTTGTTAATAAGTAACCATTACGACTCATTTAGTAGTGGTGACGATATCATAACACATTATTATGGTGAAATCAAACTAAATAGATTTTAATGGTTCCATCAATAACTCAATAGATTAAATTGCCACATGAAATACTTGATTCGAAATCTCAGCGAAGCAAATAGACTCGATGAATTCAAATACGATAAACATATGGAGCCATGAAAACCACCATACATAATTCAGTGCAAGATTTCAGAGAGGGTTACAGAGAAAATACATCAATCTTGCTAACATTGTTCAACAGAGGATGAACCACAAAAGGGGAAAACATCAATCTATTATTACTAATTACAACAACAGGTAATGCAGTCTAAAAGGTGCGAAGATGCATGCTGCTTCTTCCCATACAAATCGATTTTGTCTCAACCATCTGCGTCTCCATTTTATCACAGAAACATTCGCTCACTCCAGCAACATCAGGAAAAGAAAATCCTCAGGCATGCTTGTCCCGTTAGCGTAACTACAGTCATCATCGATCCCAGCAAAATGACACTGCGATAAACTACAGATGAGCAAAATTCTAAGTTGTATCGTGTATTCATCCACTTCAACCTTTTGACCAACACAGTGATGTTATGAGATGAAAGCATGCTAAAACCAAAAGGTGTGGTAAAACCAGGAATAAACTTTTGAGCTTGTTCTTAAATGATCTTGTTTCGAATCTCCTCGAGTTTCTTCAGTATCTCTCCAGGAGTTCTATCCAACTCATCCGCAATTTTTCTCTGCAGATCCATGGGCAATGTTGGGAACTGCTCACACAGATCTCCATCAATCACATCCTGAAAAATTAGTAACAGAAATTTTAAGCTTTCTAACCTGGTCATATTAAAACACAAAGAACAATAAAATAGAAAGAAGAAATAAACCTATATTTTACAGCTGAATTACCTTGACTGGGAAATACGCTGATCTATAAGCCATGTGATCTCTACCACACAAAGGTGGATGCTCCTGCCTCATATACATCTCCAAGTGAGAAAAGAAGTCAACGTCATCACGGGAGGTGAATGCAAGTAATGAACCCAAGCTACCCATCACTGTTCCATAGATGATGCACTCCCCACCACCTGGAATTAGAGATGCCTTCTGCAAGCAGCTGACGACATCACCAACATGATACTGCACTATCTCCTCTACTTTGTTGGGAGCACCATTCAACCTTCCCTGCTCCCATTTTATCCTCCCACCCGTTGGATCTTCTTCTATCTCATCTGAAACATGTGGTAACCGCACAAAATAGACATTCCCAAACTTGTCCGCACCTGCCATGGTGTCAAAATCTATATGGAAGGATGCTGTAAGCCATCTTGGTACACAATCATCAGCAAAGATGTACAACTGATTCTCATCCCGCCTATACTTGCAGTAGTGGAATGACTGTCAAAGAAATTAACACCATAGGAAATATAGTTAGTCCCTTATAGTGAACAAAGAACGGCAAGCAAGAAGAACAAGAACATGTACTTCAAACAGAAATCCACAACACAAAAAAGCACCTCACATCCATCCAGTATGCAGAAAGCTGATATTGGGATATAACTACAGAATAAATACTACGCAATGGATGCATTACATATTACAGTAACTACAAGGGGTGTGATATCCACACACCCCTTTTTACTTCTCTCACACCTTTTTGGTTTTCGACCGTAGGATCGGATGAATTGAAGAAGATCAACGGACATAAATTAACAAGGGGTGTGTGAGAAGTAAAAAGGGGTGTGTGGATAGCACACCCCTAACTACAAACCCAATATACATCAGGACACCATATATGACATGTCATTGCAATTTGTACGAGGAGATATTCTAGTCTAAATTTCAACTATTTGACCCTTCCAGAAGAATGCCTTAACCAAAAAATAAAAAAACCAAGCCTGTATCTACTTATTTGGCCTATATAATCCAAGGTAAAAAAACATGGTATTTTAAATGAACAATATGAAAAAAACATTATGACACACAATAGGATATCAGTGTACCAAAGAAAAACATACATGTATAAAGAAAATGTAAGCGTGGGAAGATACCACACAACAGGAACCAGGAGGCCCAATCAAATAACAAATAGATGAACGAAGACATACCTCTTGAATGTCACCTACATAAATCCGATCGCGATAGGTCTGGATTGATACAATTGTGTTGGGAAACAGCTTATTCTCACACTTCCTGAGCAACCTTTTCTTCCCCAAATCATAGAGTCGGAGCACTGGTCCAATCCCAGCTAGTAACCTTCCTTGAAACTGGCACAAGGCAAGAGGAACACCATCCACTTGTGTCTTGTGCAAAAGTTCAAGGGACTTGCCATCATCTATAAATCTATATATGTGAATATAGCCTGCTGTTACACTCTTTTTTGGCCAAAACTGCAGTCCCTTCGCTGTGCCAACAGCTAAAAGTGTACCATACTCCTTGTCATGGAAATTCACTGTACAAATACTAAATGCAGCTTCGCTATCCTGAAGCTCCAGCAGACATGTTGTAGTTGCTGTCTTGGGGTCAAGAACTCTAATGCAAGACACCCATTTGTCAGACTCTGCCTTAGGATACCCATAGTGCTCATCAGATAAGGGATCCTCCTCATCGCCACCATTTTCCATCTGCTCTACATTACCGTTTCCATTTTCACCTAAACCCGCAGCCTCAAAACACTCCTTTTTTGCAGCTTCACGCTCTTCTGCTGTGAATGCTCCTTGATCACTTTCAATAATTACCAAAAGCTTTCGTTTGAGTTGAACGATAAACTTTCTAGGGGTATACCTCAGTGGAATCACAGTTTCATTAAATGTTTCTCCCAATCTTTCAATAGTAAATACCCTCAAAGCATTTCCAGCAACAGAAACTACACCTTCCGAACATTGATCGGATGAAAATGAGGCAGCATATTCAAGGGTCTCATACGATAGTGGTGTTAAGAGAAAATGTCCTTGATGGATATAACCAAGCCAGGGCCGACTTGACAAGCAAAGCATAGCATGCTTGCCTCTCACACTAATTGAAAATAGCTTTGGTGCTCTTAGTCCCAAGAATCGAGAACGGGAATCAGAGAGCTGACCTGTGACCATATCCACCACAGTTCTGAATAAAATCCCGGAGCGTAAGCCAGCATTAAGGAAAAGGTTAGCAGGATGATCAGCACCATCCTCCCCACCAATTGAGGCCTGAACCTCAAGAAAGAGGAGAGATTCTGGAACTCCAGAAAGACTTTGCACACTAAGAATTTGCATACAGTCATCAGGATCCAATGACAAAATACGAATGACGCTGTCATATGAACCAACTGCAAGGAAACGAGATCTCTGTCTCCCTTCAGGTACCGGGGAAATGTCTAGACAAGCTACATCTCCAGACATTTCATGCTTCTCCACCTCCATTAACTGACCAGTCATATCAACCTCAAAATATATAAGTTCTCCTCCGCTCAGTGCAATAACTACTTGAAGTCTATTAGAGCCAACCTTTACAATCGTCCTCTTTCCAGGAGTTCTCCATTCATTAATACGTCCATCTTCCCTAATATGCCTAATTCCATTTGGGTGCACTTGCATCAGAGAATCATCACCTATCAAAGAAACTGCAAGTGATGGGGTAGTGTCTAGAAACCCACTGTCACTAACTTCTTCAACCGTCTCACCAATTGAAAGCACAAGAGTAGCATTTGCAAATGACACCACGATGTATGCATCAAATTCATCGGACACATTCTTCTTCACAGTCCAGACCGCACTCGGTACACCAGGAAGCTCTGACACAGCCATCTCACTGATAGCTAAACCAGGTCTTAGTATCCTGAGGGATGAACGAGGACCCCGCCCACAAAGTGTAAATATTTGAGGTGTTTCTTCCTCAAATAGATTATTGACCTTCATATCCATTATCGGCATCAAGCTCTCAACTTGATCAATCCTAACAAGGTTCTTAAGTTTTCTGGGCTGGAAAAACAAAGGCTGGAAACCTTCTTCTGTTTCCATCAATGTAGCTGATGAAGACTCCACATCAGGCTCTTCTCCTATTGCCTGGAACTGGTACAAAGAGTGATTCCCAAACTCTGACGCAGCAAACAAAAACCCAGATTTTAACACACACATTGAAGTTGTAACTGGAATTGTATCAAAATACTTGATTTTTAATTCTGAGACCTTATCGTTATCATGATCCAGAGTAACCTTAAATATATCTCCATACTCTGTCTGTAAAAGAAAAAAGAACATTGACTTCTGCTTGTGCATAGCTGCTGAAACTATAAGAACCCCACGCTCTGCAGGCAAATCCGCACGCCTAGGAATCACAGCCCTGAGATCTGGTTTATCCTGGTTCTTATAAATCACAAAATTTTCCGCACAGACCAATACACCGCTTGGACCATCCCCACCTCCAGGAACCGTGACCAGCATATTTGCACCATTATCAACCTGATCCGACCACTTCCTCGATACGTGATTGAGCCCAAGATCAAGCTCATAGAAAGTCAAATGCTTCTGCGCCTCGTTCGCCGCCTGCCCAGTAGAGTCCTGATCAGCTTCCGCATAATCCAACTCAATGGCAGCAAACATGGGATTATCAAACCCGCAGTCAACCCCACAAATCGAATACACAATAGTATGTGACTTGTGCGCCTCCAAGGGCGACGAAATTGTCAACCTAGCAGAAGTATCCCTATTCAAAACGTAAACAAGCTTCTGCTTCTCACATGCCCCAACCATAACAGCCCTACCCTTAGGATCAATAGCCAAATACTGACCCGGAACTATCCTCCGACAACCCGATTTCCCGAAAGTCTCCTGGTGAATCTTATCAAACACATTCTTCTCCTTATTATACTCAAGAATCACAATCCGACCCGAATCGGACCCGACAACAATATAGTCCTTCTGAGACCCAGTGAGCCTAAACTGAGCTAACGACCTAATTGCGCCGAAAATTTCAACAGAGAGGAGAGTCTGGATCTTACCATTTTCGTCTGGGCGGAGAAGGTCGAGAACTTTGCCGCGGGCGACTACGATCTCCTGGGCCTTGCCGCCGGAGAAGTTTCCGTTGATGGCGCAGACTATGCCGGTGGCGCGCTGGAGAGTGAGGCTGTAGAGGTACATGGCATGGAAATTTGGAGCTGCCGGAAAAAGCTAGGGTTTTGGGAGGACGGTGAAGTGGGAAGTGTTGGGACCTCGCGAGGTTTAGGCCCGTTTAGGGTTTTGAATACTCCAGTAAGAGAGAGGCTGAAACTTCGTCAGAAATCGGGGATGTGTTTATAATTAAATAAGCCTAATTGCACCTTTAGTCCCCTTATTTATTCATATTTTCACTTTCATCAAAGTTATTGTTTTGTTTCAGTTTTGTCCTTGTAGTTTCATTTGGTTAGCAACTTTAGCCCAATCTATTAATGTAATTACTCTTCTTTTTTTTTTTGGCTTTTTAACAAAAATGATCATTTAGATTTGCATAACTTCTCACTTTGGTTCTTGAGTTTGTCCACAATCAACAATTTTGGTCATTCCTTGAAAAATCTCCATAAAATAAGGGCAAAAATATTCTCAATTTTTGTCAAATCATTTTAGCCTATTGTTTATTAAATTGAGGTTACTTTTTTCATTTTGATCCTTATTTAACATAATTTTTTACCTAAGTACTAAAATGATTGATTGTAGACAAACTTAGGGATCAATTATATTGATTTCAAATCTCAAGGACCAGAGGAATTATGCAAATCTTAAAAATCATTTTGACTGAAAAACCCTCTTTTTTTAGAAGTAAAATTAAGGACAATTGTGCACTCTTTCGTCGTAGGTAGCATGTAATAACTGACATTTTGCTACAATATACTCGAAACAAACATATTTTACTTACAAATTACCAAATTTTGTACTCTCGTCGATGATAGCATGTAATAGTTTGTTTCGATCAAGTGTCATTTCCTACAAGATACTCGCAATAAACAGATTTTACTTACAAATTACCATATTGATGCTATGTAGGTCACTAATTTTCTCGGAGTATGATTCTCTCTCATTCAAATCTCATTCTTTTCAATAGGGCTCTTTCACTTTCCTCATTTTCTCTTTCTATGAAGAAGTCAACGCTAAATGTTGACGTGATTTAATCGTGACCGTATTGGATGAGGAGAATTTGGAGAGGAGAAAATCCTATTCCAATTTTCTCACTACACCTATAGGTGATTATGAACTCGTGTACAAATAACAATTGCACTTAAAAGTTTAGTGAGCACAAATGATGGATTGCTCTGGCCATTAGAGCTTTTCTCTTTAATCGATTGTATTTCGGTTCAATTCCTCCCTTTAGTATAGATTAGTTTAGAATATAGCTTAAAAGAAGGTTAAAGTAAGAGCTTGTCTTAATTGTCTGAATATATTAAGATCCACAACTAACCATTACCAATTCAACCACCCCATGTAACCAAATCCACTGATCACCTCTTCGTCTTATACATGACAAATAAACTACAAACAAAGTAGCTACACACATAATATGTAGAAAGAAAATGGCCAAGCACCTTTCCTTCCTAGCCATGTCCTTATTAGTCCTGCTACTCACCACCGCCACGATCCACCCGTCCACCGCCGCTCGAAGCCTCGGCAGTTCAACCCCAACACACCCTCACAACCACCACAAAATCACTTTCCTAATGAGAAATGTTCTCAATGTAACCCACCCCTCATCATCCCTGTCCAAACCTTCAACCACTAAAGTGACTAGCCAGCTTCCCTTCTCAAAACCAATAGGCCTGCTTCCTCCCAACGGAGGAGTCCCCCTCCCTGAAACAATCCCCGCCACACAAACCCTAGATTTATCCGGTGTCGGACTATTTTTTCCTGCTAGGGCTACACTCCAAGAACTGGAACTTGGGATTGTAACCCTGATTGACGAGGACATCTTTGAAAGCTCAGGGTATTATGGTCCACAAATCATTGGAAAAGCACAAGGGATTTTTGTTGCAAGTTCTGAAGATGGGAGCAGTCACATGATGGCTATGACTGCACATTTCGCCGATGGCAGATTTAAGGACGGGTTAAGATTTTTTGGGGTGCACCGGACGGACGTGGATAAGCGGGACGGGTCTCATGTTGCTGTCATTGGTGGGATTGGGAAGTATGAGGGTGCAAATGGCTATGCAACTGTTAATGCAGTAAATAATGCAGGGGCTAATGCTATTTGGGAAGAAGAAAACAAGCTTCTTAGGCTCAATATTTACCTCAGCTAGTAGCTTGAAACCTTGTTATGTCGAAACGTCAAAATTATGTGTTTTCGGGCCACTATCTCGTTGCCGCATATGCCCCAAAAATTTTAGGACCGACCCTGCTTATTATGTATAAGATCCTGCTTGAGAGGCAGTTAATTTTCATTGTTCTTTTTTCAAAAGAACTATATAATTGTAGATTTCTGATTTATTATGATTTGATATTCCAAATTACAAAGAGGATGATAATATACAACTATTTTTCCAATGAATAATTTATAAACTTCATTGTGGTGGATGAAAAAGGTGGAGCAGATTGAAACACAAATCTGGAATAATGGCTAGAAACCAACACTACTGAACTTATTTTTAAGTTTAATTATGTCGAAACGTCACACGAAAACATGCTACCGATGGATTTCTGCAGTTTTGTGTTCAAGTATGATCAACCTGAGGACTAAAGGAAAACTAATGAAAATGATTTGAAAACTTTGAGTTTTAACGAAAATGACAAAAAAAATGATAAAATGAATGGTATTATGATTGATTTTTAGTGTAAAAATGTGGTTTTTCGTTAAAATGAACAGTACTATGAGCTTTTTGTTAACGTTCCCAATTTTCGAGTTTTCAAATAGCTTTGTAGAAATCGAAAGAACAGGGAACTGGCTTACTATAACTCCACTTAACTTGATGAAAACGTGCAAGTCTATGTTTTTTTTCATTTGGAGTATATATTCTTTTATTTATTACTCATCAATCATAAAAGATATATATCTCCGGTTGTAGGGTAGATTCTCTTCATGACACATATACATTGTAACATGAAATTATACACACGTACATTGTGACATGAAATTATACGTTAAGTGGTTACGGTAGTTATTTAGTAATTGGGTGTGATGTGGTTATACTTACTCAAAATTGCCTCAGGTTAAATCTCCTAAAGGTTAAGCCAAAATTCCAGGCTGAGATGGGCAGCACCTAATAAGCACGTATACCAGCACCATCTTAACTACTAAAAAATGGTACCAATTCCATTTTATGGAGGGAGTTGGTTTTTCAACCAAAAACACCCTGCTAAGAAAAAAGGGTGCACCAACTCCATCACTTGATACAACTCCAATACAAACTATAAATAACAGCACAAATCTTTTCATTTCTCAAACAGAACTCACTCAAATCCAATACATTTCTCAAGAGTCAAAGATTCAATACAAAACCCTTCATTTCTTCACAATCTGACAACCCAAAAATGGCAAAGTCCCACAAATCGCTCAAGTCCACACTCTACATCTTGCTCCTAGCCATCACCCTTGGATTTGCCGGCTCAGCTAGGATCCTCGACGAGGCGCAACCCGTAGCATCCAATCCTCTTCAGACAACTGTCCCTACCACGAACCCTCTGCCAAGTGGCCAAATCCCTATCATCGCCCCCGCCACCACAACTGTTGATGACGATGTCGACGACGCTGACTCACCAATCCCTGAGACTGATGCCCCGCCAGAAGCTGACGTGGTGCCTCCTGTAGTGCCTCCTGTAGTCCCTCCTGTCACAACCGTCCCACAAGCTAACTCACCACTACCAGAGACACACGACGAACCTGCCATAGTGCCAACACCGGTTGCTAATGTGGCACCCGTAGCAACACCTGCCGTTCCAGTCACCACACCCGTGGCAGGTCCTGTCACCACATCGCCAACCGGGCCCGCCGCAACTGCCGCGGTCGCCAGAACGGAAACCCCGCATTTGTCCTTTTTCATGCACGACATCCTAGGAGGATCCCACCCATCAGTCAGAGTGGTGACCGGCCTCATCGCCAACACAGTCCTCAACCCCGCATTCTCCAAACCCAACAACAACATCTTCCCCGTCAGCGGTGGAACCCCACTATCCAACAACAACATCAATGGCTTCCTCAACAACAACAACATCCCCAACATCGCCGGCCTCAGTGGCCTCACCAACTCCCAATCCAGCACGGTCATACAGAACAGCGGCAACAACAACATCGTCAACGACGGCAGCAACCAGCCCTTCGTCACTGCCGGCCAGCTCCCCAACGGAGCCACCCTCCAGAAGCTCATGTTCGGCTCGGTGACCGTGATCGACGACGACCTGACCGAAGGACACGAGCTGGGGTCTGCCGTGCTCGGCAAGGCACAGGGCTTTTACCTGGCTAGCTCGCTGGACGGGAACAGCCACACCATGGCTTTTACTATGTTGCTGCACGCAGGTGAACATGATGTGGAGGACACCATTAGCCTATTTGGCGTCCACCGTACGGCGTCTCCGGTGTCCCACATTGCTGTGATTGGTGGGACTGGGAAGTACGAGAATGCGAACGGGTACGCCGCCATAGAGAGCCTGCACCAGGTGGACCAGCACACGACTGATGGGGTGGATACCATTATGCAGATCAGCGTTTACCTTTCTGAATAGAAAGTGGTGGTGTGTTTTTATTTCCCATTTAGGGTTGTGACATACTTCACAATTTCAATGTGCATTTGATGTATTTTCTATGTGTGTCTTTTAATTGAATGAAAAATGAAAACTTTGTTATTAAAATGTCTGAACAGACTCGTTTCTTTTTCTTTTATTTGAGCGATATTCTACTTTAATTTAGTCTAAACTAATGAGAAAGCATATCCGCTCAAGCCAAAGCCACTACTCCAGATACAGATTTGTTTTTTGTTCAACCAAAGAAAATAACCAATGATTAAGGCAGAGAATCTATGATTCTATATCATCACTTTTTCTCTGCTGTTTCTGTGTTCAAACTTCTAAGGTTGAATCAATAGACACCATTATTTTCTCTTTTGATTGATTCAAGTTCATTTCGTAATATATTCCTAGCCTATTCCTTCAACTTGTAGGAGTCTCATGTTTTTGACAGATTTCGTAGAATCTGTTGAGAGTTGTCCCACATCAGTGAGAGACAATGTTTGTTATATGCTTATATGATCTTGGGCTACTCCTCATATTGCCAATTGATTTTATGGTGGAACCTCAATTTCATGATGGTATTATGATTTTATGGTGGAACCTCAATTTGTGTGAAGCCAAACGGCCACACGCACTCCACGTCACCCAGTTGTTGTTCACATGTAGGCTTGAAAATCCGCCACACGTGCGGGAGCATGTTGAGAGTTGTTCCACATCGGTGAGGGACAATGTTTGCTATGGGCTTATATGATCTTAGGCTACTTCTCATATTGTCAATTGGTTTTATGGTGGAACCCCAATTTCATCAGAATCCAATATCTAATCGATTAGTTAACATGTCAGTTACCCTTTTCTGAAACGCGGCTTATCAGATTATCTATCGAGCAATGAAACAGGTTCAAGATATTCCATAGTCCATATTACTACTTGCTAGACCTTTTATACAGACTTGAGGGCAGTGAAAACTTGTCAATATGTAACATTTGTTCCTTACCAATATTTGCACCAGTTGAATTAAAAGTGAAATGCCAAAATTGTGCTGGTTTAGAAAGTAAAGTTTTATGCAATGACAACTTGTGATTGCCTTATATGGATCAGCTTTTCTGCATTTTTCGACAAGATAGCGAACGGGAGCAGACTTGTCCATAGAAATTACATACATCACTCAACCCAATCAGGTACCTAACAGTATCTATGTAAGACTAGAGTTGTTTCTCAATTCTTATATGGTAGTTATAATTTGTTTGACGGGAGAAATTGATCGGCAATGAACTGATCTTCTGTAATTCATTGCCGATCAATTTCTCCCATAATTGGAGATTATAACTTGTTTGATGGGAGAAATTGATGGTAGTTATAACTTGTTCTCTTTGCTGGAGGTTATAATTTTTTATCTTTGTTGGGTTTTTCCACGTGAACTGATTTTCCGTTCGAAAGTTCAGAAGTTTCAATTTGCGCACTGTTACTGAAAATAAATTGTAACCATTTCATTTCTCTAAAATGCTCTCAATCACACATACAATCAGTAAGTGACATAAACGGTGAACTCCAACAGTGTCTCCGCCCCATCAGTTTGCTGATTGGAAGCCAGGAAGGTCTTAACCAACGCGAAACCCTTAGCATTGACATACTTTCCGGTGCCACCCATAATGGCCAAATGAGACTCTGACACAGCTGTACGGTGAACCCCAAAGAAGCTAAGACTGTCGGTGTAACTCCCACTTTGGAACATAGCAGTGAAAGCCATAGTCTGACTAGTACCGTCCTCAGAGCTCACTACATAAAAACCTTGTGCCTTGCCAACCAAGCCAGAGCTAAGCTCATGCCCTTCAGTGAACTCATCATCAAACACGCTCATTGTTCCAAACATGAGATTTTGGAGCGCGGAGGAGCCTGGCAGGAGCTGCCCACCATTTATCGGAAAGTTTCCAAACCCGCCACCATTTCTGTTGTTGTTTTGTCCAACGTTTGGTGTTGTTCCACTAAGCCCTGTGAGAAATGGGATGTTATTGTTGTTTATGAGACCGTTGTTGTTGTTGTTCTGGGGTACTCCGTTGTTGAATGGTAGAACAGCCCCTTTGGGCTTGGCAAATGGGACTTGACCGTTGGCTGCAGGGTTGTTGACTATCCCTGTCATGGCTCGGGCAGTGGGGTTTGATCCTCCGAGGATGTCGTGCATAAAGAAGATCAAGGCAGGGTGGTCAGCAGCATTTGCGACTGTTGCAGTACTAGTAGCTGCTGCTGGTGTAGCTAGTGCGGCATTTGTGACAGGTGTATCAAACATGTCAGACACCACTGGGGGAACTACCGGAACTTGTGGCTGCTCCTCGAGATTTCGTGCTGAAGCAGCAGAGAAAATGGTGAGAGTAAGAAATAGGAGGTAGGCAGTGGCCTTGGCAGGGATGGAGAAAATTTTGTGAGCTTCCATGTTAATTTGAGAGGGGAACAAAATATGGGAGTCGAAATTGTTTTCCTTTCGAGTTTCGATTTAAGGATTGAAGGGATGTTTGTGTTTGTTTGGATGCATGATGGTGTATGTATAGATTGAGCTTCTGAAAGGAGTTGTTCAAATGGAGTTAGTGCTAATCTTTCCTAATTAGTGTTTTGGTTAGGATCCTAAAGTAAAGTTTGACTCCAAAAGAGGAAGGATTTGTATGAGGCCACAGAGGTTTAGGTCACCAAATAAAAGATCCTAGCTTTCACAAGGCTCGGATCGTCGTTTGATATTTCAGGGAAACCGGCTTCTAATGTCGATTCTTAAAGGAAGAACAAGTAGTCCTCGGACTTTCATGGAGTCGTCTATAATTATATATAGAGCTATCAGTATGATCATCAAATTCTTCCACACAAAATCACAATGTACTACGAATTTGTTTGTGTGTCCTTACGCTTCCTTGGTTTTCGTTGGACGATTCCATCCTTCTAAAAACAATTGCAAGTACTGAACTAGAGAGAAAATATCAAATTCCAACACATCTGAATTTCATTCATCATGTATAAAAATTGAGTCTATACATATATCATTTGCAAACCCTATCACTTGATCAAAACTGTGGCCACATCTACATAAAAGTACCTTTGTCTAACTTGTTCACAAAATTACTCTACCAAGACAACAATCACTAGTTTCTTACAAACTCTCCAAGCTAACAAACTCCGCTACGAGCTTATCGAACAAAAATCTCTCAATTTCTCTACCAATACCATCAATATCATCTCCTAAATCTAACTCAATCTCCCTTCCTAGCACCTTTTTGGTGGAGTCCTTTCCTGTTTCCTTCTCTTGGCTAACAAGCAACATCCACAGATCTTCCTCTATCATCTCCTCGCTTGACGTGGATCTAATCCTTCTAGACACAGGCTTTGTCCACACGGGAACACCCAGACAAGGCTCGAAAATCTCCATCAGCCCTGCATTTATACGGTCAAACAAAAGCCTCCTGTCCGACCTTTTCCATGAAGCCTGATCGCCAAACTTCTTCTCCAGGGTCTCAAAGACAAAAATGCTTACCGGCCATTCTGGAGGGCACCAGGTATCTAAGTCCATTATCGAGTTCCTAACATAAAAACCTATCTCCGATAACACATCAACAAGGTAGGAATAGTCTCTGCTTTCTTCAACTCTGAAAAATCTCATTGAATCTTCATTTTCTCTGTAACTGCTTGCAGATCCTTCATTAATATCACAACCATCATCACTTGAAACAATCATTCCATATCCTTCCGAGTATGCATCAGAGTCGTCTGTTTCAAAAATGCAAGTTGCATACACAAATTTAGCATGAATAAATTGAAAAATAAATAATCAAAAGCGTGAACAAAAAATAAAATTGGGTTAATATCTTCAAAATTATTAGTCAACTCACCGGTGATGTCAACACTCATACTTTGCAGGAATTCTGGTGTAGCCGATCGCTCTCCACTATATAGTGGTTCCAGAACTGAAACTGGGCTAGGCTGATAAGCCTCCTCCAAGCTCGTCATAGAATCTGACTCTGTGGTGGAGCAGTGCAAAAGAAATGGACTTTCTTTGTAGCATTCAGTGGATGTTTCCTGCAGTTTCACAACAATTTAGAAAAGTGTCACAGAGTAACAGGGCAATAGTAAATCTTGAAACAACATGAATAACCAAGCAACAATTAATACGCGTTTTCACAGTAAACTGATATAAAAATAAACAAACCATACACAAAAAAACTACCTGTCTTCTAAAGAAAGAAACGACAAACCTGCTGAACTGAAGCATCTGTTCCATGACTGGAAGAATCGTCATTTTTGTCTACAAAGATGCAGGTTCTGCGTCCAGATTGCCACTTCTTGAAATTCCCGGGAGTCTTTTCCATGGTTTGAACACCTCCTAGGCTAGGATAAGATTGGAGTTTCTTGCGGTTGGATCTCAACTTTACAGGGCCGAAACCATCATTCTGGTTGAATTTGTACTCCATTGACTTGTGCTGCCCCAAATTAATAGACCCTTTTGGCTTGAAACTCCATTCATTGCAAAGAGCTGCATATTTATCTTGCTGTGTTCTAAACTTACTGAGGTCTAGGTCTTTCAGGTCAACCCTTACGAGCTGTCTTTTTGATTGATGATGCCTAAAAAGCTTGTGACCCAATGTTCTTGAGCCTGTTTCATGGGCAGACATGGCAAGCAAATTCCCGAGGGTAGTGCCTTTACAAGCCATTCCTACTTCTTCCAGCTTATTAGTCATCTTCCGTCGTTCTGAGAGTTGCTTTTTGGCTTCCTGGGATCCATATGACCCATCTGAATAAGAAAAGGACAACCTCATCGATTCAGTTTTCATTGCAACTGAGTCACCACCCCTGGATCCTAACTGTGATACCTTTGTATCAATGTTGGCTTTGTTGCAACTTGTATTTTCAGTTAGCTTCCCCAATATATCCCTCAAAACTGTAGACCTTAAGCTTACTGGTTCCATGTCAAATGCCAAGTTCTTTCTTTCTTTTACTTCAACATGTATTTTCCCACTACTAGGACTAGAAAACTCCACGCACCTTTGATCACTGGAATGAGAAACATCAAGGGAACTCAAAGAAGGGAAACATCTCGCAGAATTCTCGGCCTTTCCATGCTTTGGTTTCACAACAACAATTCTACTACCGGGAATGCGTCCTTCTTTGTTTGACCCCAATTGCGATCTTGAAAAATCATCTAAATTTATGAGTCCAACTTCTCCAAGGGATTCTGTGACAATTCCATTCTCAAATGTTTCAAGCAAAGTGGCATTTTGTAGCTTGCAGGGGAAACTTGTTAAAGGGGAAACTTGCGGATTATGCAGATGCTCGCCGATCAAAAAACTTCCCCCATAATCCGTCACTTCAGGTACTCTCAACTTGAATGAATGGCGAGACTCTCTGGCACCAATGGAAGCAACTCTGCGTAGGTAATTCTCAGACAGCACTCTTCTTTGTTTTTGGACAGGCGCCTGAGGTGGCGAGTCATCAAGACCCATCAGTTTTGCTATAACACTTGGTGTAGGTGTAGCTTCCATTCCTGCCAGGTGTTCTTGATATAATCTATACAGGCACTGTGTACACTTTACTTTCTACAAAATGCAGGAATGTACCTGCAGAAAATCGGAGAATGCTTCATGAACTAGCGAAAAGAATACAACACGAAAATCCAAAAAACAACAAACAGAAAAGGATTCAATGAACCCATTCAAGCATCCGAATGATCATAAATTTTTTTTGTTCCTAGAAACCTAGTAGATACAGAACACTGAAGTTTGAAGTAGAGACCAAATTATCACCACAATTTCTTTTGTTAAGCAATCAATAAAACAACAACAAAAGAAACAAGAATTTAAGTAAATTAAGCGCAACATCACATTACCAAAAGAAAAAAAAAACAATTTCAGACCTGTAAACCTCAAAAAACCCACACTGCCATCATATGATATGATCATCCTAACTACTACAAGAACATCAACTTCATTGAAACAAAATCATTGCAAAACCGGTCGTAGCCAAGTTGGTTATAGCAACATGCTTCCTCTTTCTGTACTCAGTTCGAATCTCCCTCCCGAAAATTTAGATTAGATTAAAATATCGCTCGAACAAAAAATAAACAACAAAAATCATTTAGAAGCCAGCACTACGAAATCCCCGTAAGAACAAAAACCATCATTAACAAAAGCACAAGCAAGAATCAAAAGCCAATAGAATTATGAATCGCTCTATGAACTAAAGAACAAAGAAAACCCAGAAAATTAAAATTCGTGGATTAATAAAAGGCTCAAAGAGTCAAAGGGTTACCTTTCTAATATTGGTCAGGCCACCATAGTTTAATCCCTCCACCAAAACCAACAATCTTCACACAACTCTCCCTTCATTTTTAGATTACAATTTAATAAATTAACAATCTCATCAATCACACACTGGGTTTTATATAAATCAACCCAAGAAAATGACTCTCAAGAGTTATACCCGCAAATCTCAACAAAAATTGAAAAATAAAATCGAAAAATGAAACAGTTTTTGCTTATTTGGGCACGGAAATGGATAAAAAAAAATCTGAAAAATGGGTTTTGGGTTTAATATCTGGGTTCTGAAGAAAAAATTGGATCCGATGAGAAAAAATGAAGAAATGATTGGGAAGTTGGGAAGATATACAGAAAACACAGAGGCAATACAAAGGTGACGTTGCTTGGCGTTTTGGTGGGGGTCGTTTTGTTGTATTTGTTCCGTCGTTTTTGGAAATATACCCCGAATTTTTTAATTGTCTTTGCTTGCGTAACTCCCGCCAGAAAGATATGGTCATTGAATGGGGGGATTTGATTGGAGCTTTCCAATTTTTGATTAGTACAGGCACGGAAGGTTCCGGCTAAGAGCATTTTCCTCGAGTGATCGTGATCGTTCATTATATATCGTACGATCATTTTTTATTATGTGTTATATATATATTTTTTTAAATTTTAAATTTATAATAATTTCTAATTAAACGATATACGATAAACAATCACGATTATGGAATTTCTGAATCTCCAAGAAAATGATCCGGTTGGGAGTGGAAATAGAGGAATGTTGGGGTGTGCATTTGTTATGTCCGATTCATATGATTGCATTGGGAGATTATGATTTGACTTTTTGACTTTTAATAGGTCTAGGATGTTTCCTGGGTTTTTGGAGCTTGAGAAAAGTGGGCTGGGTTTATGAGGTTTATGGTTTGGGCCTGCCTGCTGGATTGTGGAACAAGAATTGTTTTTTTTTTTTTTCCGAAGATAGAGATAGATTAAATATGAATAGGAATGTAAGCAAACGAGTGAGCAGCAAGATTGCTCTCCCTAGACACGTAAGCAAACGAAACCGACGTCAACCTGCGTGCTAGACTCTCAATATCACCAAGAATACATTCCAAGCTAAGGTCAATAGGTGTTTCCTTCCTGAGCATCTGAATGATCATCTTGGCGTCGGATTCAAAAATAACTTTGCTGAATCCGTGCAAGCCGTGGAACAAGATTTTGTCCACATAATCTTTGCTCCTATCATACTGTTTGCAAGTCGGCTGTTGATCCAAAATAGCAAGAGAGACTTACATGCAAAGGTGCAGTGAACGTCTAAAGGTGTGCTCAAGCAAGATAAAATATAGAGAAGTAGACACATATATATCTGGTATACCTAAAATTGAGCTACACATGTTACCGAAATATAAGATTTAATTCCACTCAATAAATTTTTCAATTTTTTTTTTCTAAAAAGGGGACTAGCTAATGATGAAGCACAACAATCTATCTTTTTGAGGATCAAGAAGACTCACAGAAGCATTTTAGCATTCCCTGACCATCATCATGTGATTTAACAGCGTCAAAAATCAATTTCAGAATGAACCGTTTAAAACGCCAACATAAAATTTATCTCACCCACTAAACCACCCCGTAGTGATTCTCAACAATTCAATTGTATTCAATTGCACTGACTTAGTTGTCAGGTGAGTGGTGAGGCCAAACACTTTTTTTTTTCATAAAAAAGGAAGGAAAATGTGAGAGATAGTGGACCGCCATATCATTGCATATCATTGATCACCTCTCATGGAAAGAGTTGGTTCCTTTAGCAAAAGCAGAGAACACCACAAAAACCAAGTCACGTTTTCCATTTCCATGATGATATGCCTGCCTTTTGATCTTGTTTGGAAATGGAAGGGAATATGTTCTATTGAAAATATTGACAACTAAGTGACTCCAATGGCTTTGCTCTCAACAATATTTGTTCTACTGTTGCTCTTCTTTTGATATATATTCTGACATAAAGCAAATACATCCTTCAATGACTCCAATGTCAAATCCATCCTTATTTCAACTTTTTTCTTTTGCTATTTTATGTTTACATCTTAAATTTCTTTATCGTTGAAGAAACTATTCTAAGGGTTTTAAGAGACCAAGTGATTTGTGTGGGGCAAATTTGTTTGTCTAACTACGTGATTGTGCGAAATAACATTTTTACTATGATTAGTGCGTAGAATACTTTAAAATATTGACGTAAGATTGGAGAATCATATCAATAGTCCAATCCTGTGAACGTCCGATTAAAACAAAATAGTCATTGGTCTTTCTGCAAGTGATCGACAACGTCAGCAACAGAGTCCCACAACTAACTTTGGCTCATTTTTTGGGCTAAATTTAGCCAAAATTAAGTTTTAACCAAAAACCCTTTTTTTGGCCAAATAAGTTTTAGGTGAGTTTAAAACTTAACTTTTGAGTTTTAACCCAACCATTGGAGTTGTCTAAGGGTTTTTTATTTTTATTTTATTTTTTATCAAATGATAGATTTGTTAGATTAGATGTTAGGTTAAGGAGCCGACAGAACCCGCACCGTGGTGCAAGGGTAACACTTATTTTCACCACTGTGGTAGATGACCACTTGCGAGTTGGTCCAAGGGTTTAAGAGACTATGATTTGTGTGGGGAAAATTTGTTTGTCTAACTATGTGATTGTGCGAAATAAAATTTTTACTTGATTAGTGTTACAATCTTCGAAATATTGACATGAGATTAGAGAAACAGACCAACAAACTAAATTTCGACATGAATAATGTTATTTGAATTTTCAGTATTAAATTTAGGCCGAAAATACCTGTGCGAAGGAAATAAAACGATGAAGCGATCCTAAGTTGCAGCTTTGACAATAAAGATGCTTTTTGCCATTTTATTATCATTTAATAGGTTAATTAAAGATTGATTTTGAGTTTTAAAGGGTTTTTCTTGGGAATTTTATAATTTTTTGCTTTATTTTTCAAAAAAATGGGGATATCCTCTTGACCGTTAGATTTGACTTTAATGAAATTCTGTGGTTGAGATTCTGTGATCTGTGATTTAATCACAACCACAAAATTTCATTAAAGCCAAATCTAATGATTAAGAGGGTATTCCCATTTTTTTTGAAAAATTAGGATCACTTCCCTTAAAAGGCTTATGTGTTTGAATCATCTTATCATATTATTTAATAAAAATTGAGATTTTAAAAACATTTTAACTTTTAAGAGTGGCCGTTCGTGATACTCGAATTATAAGTTACATCGTGGCAAGTATACCGCAAAATCTTTGTACGAAATGCGTACCCTTTGCCTTAATTCCAATTGCAATCATGCTACATATGCATTGTATTTGTATGTACTTAATTTATCTTTGTTGGTCATGCAAGTAAGATGCATTAACAACATTGCCCAAAATACAATGAAGTCGGCCACCGTCAGATACACCGTTGCACCCAACCGTCGATTATCTGGTGGTAACTATATAATCGGCAGTTGAAATGAGGGTCACGTTGTAATATGTATATAGCCAACATTCATACCATGTTCATAGTGATTTGTAACGTAGAAAAAGAGTAATCAATTTCTATGTTACTAGCCAAGTACTTGCAGGAGGCATTTTTTGAATCACTGCGTGTTATGCGCGATTTACACGTTTTAAATGTATTTATATGCATAAATTGACAAATGGAAAATCAAATATTTGAAGTAAATTAATAATCTTATATCATACTAGAAGAAACTCTTCATAAACCAATTAAAGTAGTTGAATTCACATAATAAAATCGGTCTCTATATAATTTACATTAAGAAGAGAGAAAATAATATTTAATAAACAATTGGTTGAATTACATTATTGCTAGCTCATTGTGAGTCTAAGCCCAGCCTTTTCCCCTTAGTGTAGATAATATCGTTTGTTAAAAAAAATAATCATTTGACAGCTATTTTAATCGCATTATTATCCGTGTGCAAAGAACTTTTTTTAAAACCAGCATTACCGCCTCTTAAGATGTTTTGAACGTGTTTAAAAATAGAGAAAATAATATTTAATAAACAACTTATTGAATCACATTATTGCTAGCTCATTGTGAGGCTAAAAGCACCCCCTCCTCCTTAGTGTAGATAATATCGTTTGTTAAAAAAAATCATATGACAACTAATTTAATCACATTATTATCTGTGTGCGAATGACTTTTTTATAACCGGCATTACACGCATCTTAAAATGTTTTGAACGTGTTTAAAATAGATAAATTGGATCACATTATTGCTAGCCTATTGTGAAGTACTATTTTTTTTTTTTAAAAGGCCAATTTTTTTTTTGTGGTCCCTGTGGCGACACGCCACTTTCAATGTGACTCTCGTGGTGAGCCTTGTTAGCAATTAAGGTCCAAATCCAAACTTTTGTTAGTCTTTCGTTAAATAAACTCATGCGACTATCACACGAATCGATCAAATATGTCATTTCAATCCAAATTACATCATTTTCTATGGACATCTAATATTAGGGTTGGGCATGGGCTGGGCCTAAATTTGGAGAGACCAAACCGGACCTGTATGAAAATGCAACGAGGCGAGTCGGGGCAAGTAATGAGATTTCAAATTTTGGAACTGGACCTAACCTAGCCCGTTTGAAAAAGGCCAATTCGGGCAGGGTCCACTAGTCCTCGGCACAGAAAGGAACAAACTGAAGCCTAAAGGTTGTGTTCCTCAGCAAATAAAAGAAAACCATACAAATACTTAGACCAAGATCCAAATTATCAGATAAATCAACAACACATAGATTCCAAACATCATTCAACCAAATTATGTATGGGTAATCTATGAATTATTGAAAAAATGGGCGTTGAATGTGGACATAGGTAGTAGTAATAGGTGAAACAAGAACCTTAAGCGCTTCTTTGAGGATGGGTTCTTTGTTGGGATTGAAGAAAAGCGCCTTAATCCCATTGTTGTTCCCCAAACGCAATTTTCTACTGTAGCTACTTCTGGGAACCTGCTGCTTCGGTGATGTCGGTGGTTTAATAAACCCAAGGCCAGGCCACTGTTACCCAATTGTCAATTACTCATCAAAATTGATTAGCAGATGAGCAAAAATAGGAAAAAGAAAAGCTCAGGCCGTCAGATTATTCGCTCACCAATGCACACGAAGGAGATTCACAATAAACACAAACATGTTGACCAACTTGAACTCTTGCTACTGTCTTCTCATGTTGATGAATTCAAGAGTGATGCATAACTGACCGAGTCGGATTAGATTGGGTGGTCAGCAGCCGAGTTAAGCCCATCGTCTTCTCCGATTTAAAGCTTATGTGATGTCGACGCAATCTAGGGGTGGGAGGGAGAAGAGAATGAGAACATAGAAAGAAACTGGGGGAAATCTGGGAATAGGGAAAATGACTGAAAAAG